TTCAGTTTTATAATAAATTCTTAATGGATTAGAATGAAACCTGTGAAATGTGAAACCCAGGAATCTGCCACATTCACTCTTGATGGAATTTGGAAGGGCTGATGAAAAATCACATTTCTGAGTGTGGCAAAAATGTAAGTCTAGTATATAAGGAAAAACTTTGGAAGATTGTTTGGTGAATAAAGCTTCCATAAAGAAATACACTCATCAGACTGAGTTATTTTGGGTAATTTCCTTGAACTTACTTTAGTGATTCTTATGCATACCTGTGAAAATTGCCTTATTACCCAACAGAAGGAACAAAGCTTATTCACCTGGGTATATTTGATTCAAAGCCATATTTAAAGCACTTCTCTTAAGCATGTGCCACATCTGCCACAGATATTTTCTGTCCCTGTAACAGAAGATAGGAGATCCAGGAAATCATAGGAAGTTAGCATTATCAAAAGATGTTCAGAGAATTTCATGAGGACTCTCTCCAAGTTTGTCTCCTTAGAGAGGGATTAATGAGAGTGAAACTCTGGGCTCAGTCTGAGACTGAGTTGAAGAAACAGGAAGACAGCCCTGAGAATCTTTCTGGAAACTGTGAGCTGGGATCTCTGAACTGGAGACAGGCCAATTTAAAAATAAAACTATACCTAAAAACAAAACGAGCCAAAAAAAACCAGTAAGTTTTTTATCTAAGAAATCAGCCCAGGATCTAGGCCAGTAGATGTGATCCCTAAACAAAGCCAAGTCCAAATGAGCAACCAGACAAGATGATAAGCATCTGACTCAACAACATGGTAGGCAGGAGTCACTGAGATGGGGTGTGACCAAGGACATCCGGTGGCCTTCTCTTGGGTCAGGTGATAAATAAAGATAACAATGGTAGGTGGGCACATTCCAAGAAATTTCTTCATCTTCTCTAAATTTCCCATTGAAACCTCTAAGTAGAAAAATACCTTTCCAATGAGTGGGACATACTTAGAGTAGAATTCAGAGAAAGGTGGTAGGTAAGTAGGGTTAGCAGTAGATCATATAGCCATATCAGACCTTCTCACCTAGAAAATAAAACAGGAAGTCAGGAACCACAGGCTAGAAGCCATCACCTTCAACTGAGACATTTTTTTCCACAAGAGGGAAAGAAAGCAACTCTGATCATGATAAAACAAGACTGGGGTAGAATTTTGAATTTATTATAGTATCTACCAGGATTAAGTAAATCAGGCAATTGAAAGAGATCAGATTAAAAACATTAATTCACATCCATCCTCCATTACTAAACTTAAGGTGCTCATATTGGTAGAGCCCATTAATCAGATACATGCTATATTTGTTCTCATAATTTCTCTTTTTTACAGATATTTGACTTTATTAATAGAGGGGAGACTAACTGCTTGTGTGATTATGATGTTAGATTAAATCTCTGAAGAAATCGGATTGAAGAGAAGGGACCCATAGTTAAATGATCATTTTTGTCCTTTCCTCTTGACTTGTAAAACTGACCTAGTAATTTCTGAAATCCTCATATGGAAGAATTCACATACTGCTTTCCTAACTTCAGGAAGTTCAACCGTAGATACAAAAGCTGCTCATCACCCCATTTTACTTGGCTTGTCTAGCATAGTTTCCTGAACTTCTTAGATGAAAATGTTTTGATCTCACCTTGTACCACTAAATAAAGCCTCAGTGTCTTCCTGGCCTTAGCAATCACTGCCTTAAAGCTCCAACATCAGCATGCTCTTAGTCAAAACCTAGAGTAGAATTCTATTAAGTACAACAAGCCTTCAGAGAGCTCCTAAGAACTGCAGCACAATGTGTAAAGGGAGAAACATCAAGGATAGCTCTGTTCCTCCAGTCCAACTCTGAAAGGCTGGAGCATGCCTTGGGATCCAGTCTCATTGACTACAGAGCTGCAGAATCAGTCACTGCCAATCAGAAGAGGCCACTCCACCTTCATCCCACCAGATAAAGGATGGTTCCCCAACCTCATTGCAGTCTGTCAAGGGGGACATTTCTCTTCTTTGTCTTATAGGTACAGAACTGCACAGAGAACACAGAGCTGGCTGTCTGAGGGCTAGTTAACCCCCTCACCTGATAATATTGACCCCATGTGTTCCAGCCGCAGTGATATTGCTAAGCCCTCAAAACTGTGCTTGGTATTCTCTGGTTGTGTCCCACACAGATTGTGATATAGCTTAGCTCTGCAAGAAATACTCCACCCAGGCTCCTGCATATAGTGACAGGAAGCCAGCCTCATGTCCCCATGAAGCTGGAATCTCCAATGTAGTGACTCACTTTGGTCTGCTTACACAACTTTCATTTGTGTGTGTGTGTGTGTGTGTGAAGTATGTGTATGCATATGTACATATATCCATATACACATATGTACTTAGAAGTGTACATATTTATTGAGTGGCTACCCTGTATGCAGCAGAGTGCTTATCTCAGAGAAGGGTAACATCAACTGGGTCAATGTTAGCTGTGATAACAAACAAATCCCAAATGAATCATGGCTCAACCCCAATAGAAGTTGATTTCTTCCTCCTGTAAAGTCCAAAAGGTATTTTTTGGTCACAGAGTGGCTCTCTTCCAGTTGCTGATTCAAGAATACAAATTCCCTTGCTTCCGTCTTTAATATGTGGCTCTCAAGGTTGCTATTCTGCATTGGCTGCATCAAGCCAGTGCAAATAAAAAGGATGTAGAGGACCATTTGAGAGATGTTTCTGGACCAGCTGGAAAGGCAGAAAGAATTTGCTTACACTCCATAGGATGAGACTAACCTTGTCACATGGTCACCTCTATGTGCAAAGGCGAGGAAGAACTGAAGTCCAGCTGTGTGCTCAAAAGAGAGAAAAGGGTCCATGACATCAAACCCATCCCTGCCACAGGGACAAAGCAGAAATGTAGGGTTTGGCCTGGACTCTCATGGAGCTGATGATCCATAGGAATATAGACTCTACAGCATAGCTTTTATAGGAATTGTTCTAGTTCAGTCAAGATGCACTTCAGATAAAGGGCCAAAATGAGAGAGCAATGTAATCCATCATGGAGGGGAATTCACCCTGGGTTACAGAAGACAGATAAGCTTCCAAGTAAGGTTTCAGTGCAGTCCTGAACAATGGGTCAGGTTTTGTAAGATCTGCAGGAGCAGGAAAAATTTGCCGTGGAAAGACCGATAAAAGCATCAGCTTGGAAGGAAGAAGAAAAGGTGGAACTCACCAGAAACCATTTGAACAAAAGGATCTCACTTACCTCTGACCTGGAGATGTGTGAGGCGAGGAGTCTATTTCTAAGACAAAATGCAATCTCAGTTGCTGATTTCATGTAACAGATGATGCAAGGTCAATGTCAAATCACTACTGAGTGGTCCTGCTACATTGTGTCTGTATCTAGGATTCTTCTGTATTTGCAAATTAAGTAATTAAAGTGTAAAGTGGTTGGTTCAAGTAAGAGAGTTTATCCAGGTAGACTCTAACACTGAAAATGAACATTAGGTGTGTGACAGAAAATTTTCCCTCTAAACAGATGGACTCCTCTTTAGGGATTCTGGCATTCTGGTTTACTCTCTGACTAGGACTTTACTTGAATTTCCCATGTATACACTTACTTTCACTGAGATCAGAATTAAGCACAGATAATATTAAAATACCTGTTTGAAAAGTGACATACACACATATATGTCTGTCTGTGAGAATATCATTTTATATATACATATATATGTGAAACTGTAAGTCTTTTAGAAAAATTCTTATAAGAAGTATACCATCTCTGTACTTGTGAACTCTTGTGGTTATTTAAGGAAAGTTTTGTGAAAAGAAGATATTTACCTACCATTTGAATGCCCAGAGCCTTACCACAAGAAATAGATTTTATTTTCTTCTCCATTTTTATTTGCCTTGTGTGTGTGTGTGTGTGTGTGTGTGTGTGGAAACTGCCTAGCAAATGGTTGTACCTTATCATCTAAGAAACTACCTATCACAAACTCTCAGTTTACACCAAGCCATTGCTTGGCTATGTGGGTGAACATACTGTCTTATTTTTTGCCCCCTCTTCCTATGGCAATGTCTTTACCTAGGATTAGATTAAATAATCATTTCTATCCCTCTGCAATAGGTAAAGGATAAGACAGAGAGGTTCAATTATATTCCTGAAAGCTTGTGAAACCTGTGCCTTACACAAGGCTGAAACTCAGCAATCTCGACCCCTTGCCCTGGGTCCTACCTCATCTCCCACACAGACCTTACCTATTTCAAGGGAGGGAGCTGACTAGTTGGATAAAATCCAGTGAAGCAGAATATCATTTAGGAGGTTAGGTTCCTACATACACATATGCATGCAGTAAGTGAAAGGGTGACATCATATATCTGAGAAGAAATAGTGAAGTACAATCATGAACTGAATAAGAAGTCAAATACCTAATCTATAGAGGACTGTTCCCCCAAATCACATGATATACCACTCAAAATCATCATTTCTTTTGTTGAATGTCATTTCCCATAACTACTTCTACTGTTTGCATATTGATAAATGTATTCTTAGGTCTTAAAAATTATAATTCTTTTGGCACTCTCTCAACCTTTAAAGCTTATATGTGGGTGGGGGAGATCTAAGACTTTTTTTTCTTTATACACTGCCACAAGCGTTAATTGGGTACTTATTGGGCACAATATACTGTGTCAGGTCCTGAGGGTTAAAAGATGAGAGAAATTTTTTCTTTGGCCACAGACAACTCAACTTCTAGAAAGAACTTGAGATAGGGTTTATAAAAATTGTCCAGAAATAATGCCATTGTTCTAGTTACCTATTAGAGTCTTAGCTCTCTCTTGGAAAATTTGAATTTTCAAAGTAACAGGCAGCCAACCTTGGATTTATTCCATGTCTTTGTGGAAGTATTTCTACAAGCACATGGACTCAGAGAAGAAAGGACATAAGTGTAAAGTAAATAAAGAATTGAAACTCCTCAGTACAACTGGTTTACCTACCACAGTGCTCTCCCTTTAGTAAGAGCTCAAGAAATGTTTGCTAAGCTACCAGCTAATCAAGTGAGCAACCAGGTAACCAAGTGTGCAAGGCTCACAGGAGCTTGGCCTAAGGGAAGCAAATGGAGATCAGAATGAGCATGACCCACTTTATTGGAGCTTTCAGTCCCTTCTGACAATATGGTTGATCTGCTGGAACAAAATGATGTCTGAGGCCACTCCCGCACCCTAAAGTGGTGGCAGAGAATCTAAGAAATTTCTTAAATTTGCACCACTACACATTAGAACCTTCAAGAATGGAAAAATAGTAGAAAAACTTTTTCAGAGATAATAGAGGCATGCTTGTCCATGTTATTTACTTACTTGATTAGATTTTTTAGTGCCTGAAATCACAAAAGTTGTAACCAAGACAAACCAGGGTATAAGGACCATTTTTAAAATGTCACCAGCCTAGTAGAAACATTACCCATAAATCATGGGTTTTATTGTATTTGCAATTAAACAAATCAAATTTAATGTCCACTGGAAAGCCTGAGAGATTAGTATGAAGATTAATATAGTGAAATGTCCCTGATTTAGCAGGCCTCCCAAGCAAAACCAAAATAAAGAATTCAGTTTGTTACCGAATGGCACATAAATATTAGCGCACAAAATCCTCCAATTCCCCAGATCCCTGATGCAATTATTTTCTATCCACATTAATTGTTCCTAACAGATGATGTTAATGACTTTGAGTTAAAATGTGTCCAACAAAAGATTTCACAAAATCAGAACTGTTTAGAAATAAGGTCACTTTTATAATTATTTGCTCAAATTTTAACTACTGGCAACATCATAAGGTTAACTTGGTGACTGGTTTTCTAATGAGAATTTCAAAGATTAATTTTCACACTAGCTGGTAAGTATATCCAGGTAGTCACAGTTTTCCTACTACTTATTTTCCCAGGAAGATTGACAGACTGCAAAGGTGTGATTACTGTTTATGTAATTTGCATATACACATATATTTGGGATGCTTATTTGAGTTCAGCTATGTATTATAATCCGGAAATGTCAACTCTTTAAAGATTTTACTGTTCAAAGCAGGGTTTTGAAAGAATTAAAACACTTCTATTCATTGCTTCTGCTTGCTTTTCTCTAGAAACTTCATACACGAATCTTAGATCTTTCATCTGGAGATTTGCTTTCAGAGGTGGGACGAAGCCAAAGTCTGATCCAGTCACGAACTGATGTTGAGCTGCATGTGAGTCTTCCTGCTGTTTTCAAAGCACTTGTTTAGGTTGTTATTTCCTTTCCATCAAATGTGATGTCACAAGTGAACCATAAAGTGCATCCTTGAAGCACTGTCAGATAGATGGAAATACTTCCCTTCTTGTGTTCCCTGAAATTCAGTAACATGTCCCCCAGCTGATATAGTAAGCAGAAAGTGTCACTCTCGGCAAAAAGGTTATAAATCTTGGCTTTGTCCCCAAGATACTTTTGGGGTATTGATTACATCTCAAAGTCTCTGAGAAATGGTCAAGGAGCTTTTTATTAAAGCCCATGTCCCATATTATTCATCCTACTTTTATGATATATTATGGATGAACTTTTAAAAATTCATGGGCTCTGCATTTTTTTCATTAGCTGGGGTTAGCTTTGTGCTTATTTGACAAAACTTTAACCAGTATGGCTTTTAACTCCCATTGACATAAAAAGAATAACTTGAAAAAAACATAGCAGCTATATAAATGCATAATGAAAAATGTTAGGCTTACAAATGACATCAGCCTTTGTGGATACCTGGGCTCTTAATTTACTGCATAATTTTGTCAGTTGTAGATAGGATATTCCACATCAAAGGTAAATATTCTCAAATTAAATTGGAATGAAATTTCAGTGGAATGTTGTCACTTTATACATCTATAAAGACCTAATGGCATCCAATCTTTAATATGGCCTGAAGGTCAAGAATCTTTTAAAGTGTGCAATTTTTATTCAACAAACTCTAACTTCATTATCTTTCTCTCTGTTTTTTAAATTAAAGTTGTAGCTTTTATGCTGAACTTCTCATAGTAAAGATGTTAAGGTATACAAATCATTCAAAGTATTGATCCAAAATACACAATTGGAAACGTTTTGAATAAAGCAAACAGGATGGGTTCTGCCAATTAAATCAACATAAGATAATGTTACAATAGAAGCCAACATGTACTTTTCCACAAAGAAGAGCTTTAATATCAATCATTGTCTATTACTATGACAACTGAGCTCAGTGGGATTTACGGAGTTCTGTGTTCTTTGGGAGTCAGGGGCCTTACTTGGCATTATAACATTTGGGCTGTGACTTGGGCCTGGCATCTGAATGTTTTGTTGGCTGGGTGACCCTAGGCAGTATATTAAAACCTCAATGCCTCAGACATCCCATCTAGAAAATGAGGATAATGATATTTCTTTTCTACTTCGGAGAGTTGTGGAGGATTATGTGAGGTAACACACGAAGTGTGTGTAGCACAGTGCCTGCTAACACTACTGGGACAATAATATACCTGTTGCTTTATCCCTTCTCTCTTCTCTTCATTGTGTGGCATCATGCCACAGCCACAGAAACATCTGCAAGGGCACAAATGATAACTAAGAAAGCTCTGGAGCCTCTCCAGAAGCTCCCCACAGAGATCCCTGCACCACTTTGGGTTATTGTCCAGTAGAGTGCAAGGTGTCAGATATTGATAAGCTATCAAGAGCTATAAAACAGAGTGCTTTAGGGAGATTAGGAGCTTATGGTTTAGTTGAGGAGTCAAGACGTGTGTGTGTGTGTGTGTGTGTGTGTGTGTGTGTGTGTTTTAGTAGTAGAAACACCTAGAAATTCCTAAGCATTAGCATATACCAGGGCGATTCAGTCTTCTAGATTATCTTTTGTAGTAAGCCATTACTTCCATTTTCAAAGAAAGAAACTGAGGCACGGAGAGTTGCCATTTTTCCCATGCTCAAAAAGCTAGTGAGTGGAAGAGCCGGGATTTATACCTCATAAATGCCCTGAGATGTCTGAGGAAAAAATAGCTCACTTTGCAACCAGGATGTCAGGGATTCTTTTCTGGATCCCTTTTTAAATTCAAACATTGATTATCCAAAGTAGGCAAGTAGGAGAATTTCCCATAGAAAGGAATGGCCCCTTCTTCTTTGTGAGGAATTCCTCAGTAACTAGTCACTACATATAAATATTCATCCTTCCCAAACCACTGGCCTGTGGTGGACTCAGACATTCCCTCTTCTTGCTCAGGTCTGTTCAGATCAATCCTTGAGATGACAGAGCATATGTTGCCAAGGAATACACACAAGAGATCATCTCTCTAATAGCTTCTTCTACAGACTTGCTACACAAAGTACAAGATACCAGTTAGTAGCACCAATTAGTAGCACTCTGGTTAAAAATCCTGTACACATCTCATGTCCTACCTCAAAACTATTGGATCAGAATCTGCATCTTAACAAGATCGCCAGGTGATTTGTGTGCACATTAAAGTGTGAAAAAATGTCTTGCAGGATACCTCTGTGTTTAACCACCCTTTGTCCCTATACAGCATTAGCAGGTCTTCCTCAATCCCCTGAAGTTTCCCCCATCACGTCTGGGCACTCAAAGGCAAGGGCAAGAGAGTCATCAATTCCTTCTTGAGCCAGCCTGTCTTGTGTTCTAGATTCCTGTCATCTTAACCCAACCTCTAGGGAGGTATACTCCTTACTGCTGGATAAGGGAGCTTATGCATTAAGATATCTAGGAATTGAGTTGTAAAACATATACTTTTGATAGGTGGAGTGGAAATGGGTAGGTAGGAAAGCAAATGAAATATAAACTTTTGTGGGAGAAGGCAGAATGTGTGCTGTCACTGGAATGTGACCATTGGAGGAGTTTTTCTCTGGGTCACCTGGAAGGATGGGACACAGACACAATATATCCCCAGAGTAGAGGCAGCCTATATATAACAACCGCCACCTGATAGCTCAGACAATAAAATATGAAAGAACAGGATGGAGACACTGGAAAGCACACACATAGAAGTGGAACATAACATCCCATTCCTGAAAGGTTGTTCAGGTTGCTTTTCAGATGTCTGCAGTGGTGGAGGCTTAAATGCCAGATGCTCCTGCAAGATAGAGCCATTGGCTATAGACATCTGTTGTGGTACAAATATGATCTACCTTAACTAAATTACATCCAGCAAGAAACAAGAGCATCAATCAATAGCTAATTGCTGAAAGCTGGATTTTAAGACAAGTTTCTCCTTTCATTGATATTAAGAGCCAAATTTTGGGGGTGGGGAGGAATAGGGTAGTAAAAACTTGGCATTTTTAGATCACTTAAAGAGATTGTTATGTAGCAAAAATAAAGTATTTATAGCAAGGCAGTTGAAATTATTAAGCATTATGGATATTGATTACTGAGAAAATTAAACATACCCTATGTACTTATGCCAGGGTTTAATATTTACCGCAGGTACTCACGCCCTCATTACCTTCCGTTCCCAAGCTGGTGTTTAGTCACCGTCAGTTAGAATTGCATTTGGAGCACAGTGATAAGTACTCCGGTACCAGAGGCACCCGTAAAGTATCAATAAATTGCTTAAGTAAGAGGCTTTGCTACTCTGTAAGTGACACAAAGACAGATGGCTCCCCATCAAAGCGTTTCTGAGACAAAGCTTTCTATAGATAGGAGGCTGGAATTAGACGGTAATAGAGAAATTCTATTCTCAGTGTTGGGGATGCTAAATTAATTTAGCCTGTCCAGTTTGTGGTGCTTCATCTTTTACATGAGGGGCATACCATGTGGCTGTCAAGATGTGCTAGGATACTTACCACTTTGTCACCCTTGCCTTATGTATTACCCACTAGAATTCTAGCAGCCTGGGCCTTCTGTGTGGCATCCAGATCTGTTAGGTGTGAGGGTCATTATCATTCGGATAGCCAACTGGGTACAAAAACTCCTATTACCTTTTGCAGTGGAGACTCGTGGTAGCTGAGTTTCATGTCTGCTGGGTATGGATTCTTATAAGGTGGCACAGATAGGCTGGGGCTTTTGATGGCTGACTTAGAATAATATTGTCAGAGCTGGAGAGGGCTACAGGAGTAGTCTGGGAGATCTCGCCCTGCTCTACGAATGAGGACTTGAGGTTCATGGAAGCTATTGTTTTCTTGACTAACGAATGCACATTTGGTGGCAGAGGGTAACCTGATCTAGTCTAGCACCACCAGTCTATGCTCAAGCTCTTGAATCCTACAGGCAAGGATGCCACTATGTCTTCTTGCATTTGTAGTATTCAAGCCATATTTTTGTTGTTTTGTTTTATTTTAGGATGCTAGGAATTGAACTCAGTACCTTGCACATGCTAGTCAAACGGTATCACTGAGCTACACTCCCAGTCCTTGAGTCCTGTTTTGATATTGATCTGATTCCTTCACCATTGCAGCTGGATAAAAATGAGAAACCACCATTGTGGTACTTTTGCCTAATAATGAAGGTAGCTTATGATAATTGAGCACCTGTTGTAGGTCACACACTTTGCTATAAGCCTCACATGTAGAACCTCATGTAGTCCTCGCAATGGCCCTGTGAGGTAGGCAGTATTGTCATAATTACCTTTTAAAAGGGAAATGTGGCTAGGTAGTAATACAGTTAAGAGGCAGAGGCAAGATCTGACTGCATGTTCTGTCTGGATCCCAAGTCTGTGCTTCTAACCACTCTTTTTGGGGTTCAACTGGTATTTTTTCTTCTGTAAGCCAACCCCTTGTTCAGAGTTGTGCTGCTTTTTCAGGATCACCAACTGAATGCAAAACCAGGAACCCTGGCCTTGAAATGCCCCGGGTTGGGGGTTGTCATCCCTGGTCGTCTCTGCCCTGGAAACAGCTGTAGTAGCAGTGAACTGTCTCTTTCAAGCACTTGCAGCGAGTACTCCAGCGGGTCCTCCTACACATGGCATGATGGGAAGAACCTCAGGAAAAGGGTAAGGATCCCTTTCAGCAGCAGAGTGAGCCAGAAAAGAATCCTCTTCTGGTGGAAGCAGAGGGATAACTAGGAAATGACCATTTGCTGAGTGTCTGCTCATGGATTATATTGACCTCCATGATTCAATTTGATAAGCTTATAAAACAATATTTGACTATAAATTAGAGGACAGCACAGCAGAAGCAGACAGTAGGGACCCTGGCTTCAGTGAAGGTGGGCCTACTTCTCCTTACCTAGAAGGGGGTTCTCTCAGGGTTTTTAGATCACCACTCCCCTAAAAATGACTCCCATCTGCACAGGGCACTCACACACGTGGAAACTCCTTCATGCAATGAACAAACTTCTTTGCACACTGGTGCAAGAATTTTGAATTTATTAGTTCCTTGAAGTTGAAAAAAAAGCAATGTACACAGGAACGGAAACCCTGAACCAGAGTATTCAGAAGTCATTTTTCGATTACTCGGATAAATTTAGTTTACACTTTCAGCAGTGTAGAACCCGGGAAAATTCCACAGCTCCCACAATATATTGGTGAGGGAGTAGCTTCATCATTCACTGAACAAGAACTACTGAAAAGATTTCAAGCTTGCATTTACAGCCTATTCCCTTGGACTCAGACATCTAATGCAAAGTAGAGAGCCTGCTGCATTATCAAAATTGCTCCCTCAGAGGAGTTGTTCAGAGCTCTGAATAATGACTGCCAGGGGCCTGCCTCCTAACAGACCAAGGCGATGGTTGGAGACATTTCCTCACTCTGTCTGTGAATGGTGCTGGCTCTCACAGCTCCTTACTCTGCTCATTTGCTTCACACACCTCTTTCTCTCTCTCCCTCCCTTTTCTTTTAATTTTTGGCTGTCATTCTATCATTTACAGCAGGCTTTGATATTCTAAGGCAATATCTCCCCTGAAAGAGGAGAAAGAAGGTAAAAATTTTGGGGGGGTAGGAGAAGAGGGGTCGTACTGGGGTTTAAATGTAGGGCTCTGTGCTTGTAAGGCAGTCACTGCCACTTGAGCCATACATTCAGCCCCTTTTGCTTCAGTTATTTTTTCATTTAGGATCTTGTTGGTTTTCCTTGGGGCTGTCCTTGGACCGCAATCTTCCTGCCTACTTCCCCCAGGTAGCTGGGATTACAGGCATGCACCACCATATCTGGATTGTTTTCTGAGATAGGATCTTGCTAATTTTTTTTTTTTTTTGCCTGGGCTGGTCTCAAACTATGATCTTCCCATCTCCACCTTCCAAGTAGCTGAGACTATAGGCATGCACCAGACTACATTTAGAGCTCTCAAGATATTTTAAAGTTATATTACTTAACCTCAAACTGTGATCTTTCCATCTCCACCTTTCAAGAAGCTAGGATTATAGTCATGCACCAGACTAGATCCAGAGCTGTCAAGACATGTTAAAATTGTATTATTTAAGGTACTTCTACAGTTTTTATCTGGCACCAGGTGCTCTTTTAGTATCATCTTATGTAATAAGCTCAAATGATATGAGTCTGAATGGAAATAGAGCACTAATTTATATAATAATAAATGTGTGAGTAATAGTTCTTTTTGAGCTATTTTTTTTTAAATACTGTTTGGTACAGAAATAGAAGGGAAGCCTATATGAAATTAACTAGCCTGCCTTACATGAAGGAATTTGGCTCAAAGTAATGAGTTATTACCATATGCAGCCCACTTTTTAAAGCATTGTACAAGCTTAACTAATTTAATGATCATGATGGTCTGTTCAGTAGGTTCTATTCTCTCCATTTTACAAATGAGGAGATTGAGGTGCTAAAAAGAAAGTAACTGGTCCAACAGCTCCTAGCCAGTCCATGGAATAACCAGGCAGATGGCTCCAGAACCTTCACTCTTAAAAGTTATACAATCCTGACCTTGTTCAGTCAGCCTAACACATAGAGAGGTTATGCCAGTTGTTGGGATACATTTGTTCCCAATAAGAGCAACAGTGCCATTTAAAAATAAATAAGCATATTGATAATTGTAAATCTGTTGTCCATTCAAGAGAAGGAAAAGGACTGTGGGCATTAAACACTAGCCCCTACCTTGTCAGCAGCTTCCTTCCCCATTCATGCAGCTTACGAGGGCAACTCTCTTACAACTTGGCCCCATGAAGAAGGCAGCCGCCTGAGGGAAATGCCAATCTTGCCCACTGTCTCTCCCACAGAGGACTTACTCTTTTTTTTTTAATTTTATTATTCATATGTGCATACAAGGCTTGGGTCATTTCTCCCCCCTGCCCCCACCCCCTCCCTTACCACCCACTCCGCCCCCTCCCTCTCCCCGCCAACCCCCTCAATACCTAGCAGAAACTATTTTGCCCTTATTTCTAATTTTGTTGAAGAGAGAGTATAAGCAATAATAGGAAGGAACAAGGGGTTTTGCTGGTTGAGATAAGGATAGCTATTCAGGGCATTGACTCACATTAATTTCCTGTGCAGGTGTGTTACCTTCTAGGTTAATTCTTTTTGATCTAACCTTTTCTCTAGTTCCTGACTTACTCTTTTATTTTTGCCCCCAAGTTTCAGGATTATTCCAAACTTTCCTCAAGGTATTAGATACCTTAATTAACTGCAGAAAACTGATGAAGGAATTTGACCAATCTCACAGAGGTTTGTAGCTGCTGACAAAACACAGCATGGGCACCTCTGGAGGCACAGAAAGAAGGTGGGTGGGCAGGAGGCACACAACTTTCTGTGAGTTAGACAAATCTGCCTTTTTAAGCACATTCAGGCTCTCCTCTTTATGGTCAATATGACTATCAGATCATGGACATTCTTAGAAACCCAAGCTGTGACATCCTGCTCTCTGTTCTGTCTATAATACCCAGACTCACTAACGGGATTTATTCCAAAGGAGCATTTAATGGTGCAGGGGAGGGGGAAGGAAAAGGGTAGCATCACCAAATACCATCTGTCCCCAGCAACTCCACATAGTGGAGAATCTTCTAAAGAAAATAAATAATTGACTTAAAAACAAACAAACATGTGTGTGTTGTTGATAGCAAGAGTAATTTTCTTGAAATGTAAGTGACAGTCCCCCAGCTTACTATGAAGTCCAGATTCCAATGGAAGTTTCTGGCACTTTTCAATCTGTTCCCTTGAGCATGTAGTTAATATTCAGAATTTGGCTGGTGTAGAGTGTTCCTGTGAAACTATAATACTTGTCCCTGAAGTTATTCACCATTAATTATATACCCTTAAAAAAAAGAGTAACTAGGGTACCCTTCACATCTTACCCATTTCCCCAAGGGCTGATCTGTTACTTAAATTCTGCAAGTTCCATTGAAGAAAGAGCCAAGGGAACCTGTGATCTCTGTTATGATGTTAACTAATGCAGAAGGAAGACTTGAGACTAAACTTGGCTTGGCAGTATGGCACCAAGGTTAGGAGTGCAGGCTCCAGACCTGGACTGCCTGAGTTCACATCCCCTCCAGGTGCTTTTGAACTGAACTAAAATTGACAGTGTTGTAGAAAGTGACATCTGAACCAGAATTCGATCCTTTGCCACAGCTCTTCCTGTCTCTGCCATCTTCTCCAAACCAGCCTAGCTGAATCTCAGAGTCCTCCATCATAAAATGAGATGGATTATTTCTCCCTCATGGTGTTTGTCTGAAGATACATGAGTCACTATTTAAGTGGTTGGTAAGCATCAGGTGCTCCATACACATCATCAGTTCCCCCAACATGTTAGTTCCCCTCTTTGCCTTTCCATATCTTGTTCCCAAAAATAGGAAAAATGCAAATGGGAGGAACACAGTCTTCCTCTTGGGTCATTTCTCATACACTTTTCCAAAGCTAAGGCCAGCATTTGGGGAGGTATGAAGGCAGGACATTGATCTTTGTAAGTTAATAGAAGAATAATTACCACAGGGTTCTAATAGCAAACACCCAGCAGTTATATGTAAGTGAATATATGTAATTCTCTATATAAATATATGTATGTATATATATGCATATGCACATATATGATACATAATAACTTTAGAAATTTTTCATAGATGTGTATGAAGTCACAGAGCTATCAAATGTTGCAATAGGAAGGATATGAAGACATGACTAACTTACTTTTCTGGCTCTACCCTCTCTACCTCTCACCGACATATGAAGTTTTATTGACATATGTGGTCATACTGTCTTCTCGCCATTCCCTAAGTACACCTTGAGCAGATCTCCCTGAAGTAGGTCTTTGCCCATTCCATGTAAATCATTTCTCTACTTTTAACCTGAAGCACATTTATGTGTCTTTTAAGGGCTAGGTAACTTCTTTCTTACCTTAAATGCCTTTCAGGTCTTAAATCCCAAACAGACCTGTGGGCTCCCTCCTCTGAGACTCTGGAACACTTCTCATTTGCTTCCTTGATACACAGTTTTTTGTGGCCAAGTCCCCTGCTCTCAGCTGAGTTTTCTGGTCCTTGAAGGCAGGATTCTAACTTTCTGTTTATTTATTTCATTGTACTACTTAGCACAAGACCCGGCAAAATCAATACTTCATAGTTAGCATTGCATAAACTGTATTTATATATGAATATGTATCAACCAGCAGCACAAATTTAAGTCTGCAGATGGGCTTTTTACTTTGTATATTTGCAGTTTGCATGGTTCCATCATTGTTTTGTTTTTCTCATTTTTTAATTTGTTTATATTAATTGTACTAGGGGTTTTATTGTGATTTTCCATACATGCTTATAATATACCTTGATCAGATTCACCCCTTTATAACTCTCAGTTCAATCATTTCTCATATCTACTTTTCTTTCATAGCAATCATCACAGAACTGGGATAAAAGGCTGAGTATCGATTCTTCGCTCCCAAGTGGCTTTGCTAGTCCTGCAGATGAACGACCTCCAACTCGTATCAAAGAAAGCCACATTTTAGAAGGGCTAAGGAAGCTACAGAAGCAGAAAGTGTTACTTGAACCCCCATCAGTGATAACCAAATGGGGTTATAAAGATTGCATGAACTCGAATGAAGGAATATATTCTCCAGGAATTAAGAGTAGCAGCCTCAAGGAATATCCTCCCTGCAAAGCACCTGGCCCAGAGAACCCCTGCAAGGACCCCTACAAGACATTCATCTATGATACAGATTCTCATGAGGATGCAGAAGATGACTCCTCTTCCTTATCATTGCTGCAAGCTGTTCCAAACCAGGGCTGCAGGTTGCATGGCAGTAAGTTAATCCACAGTGTCTCCGACAGTTTGTTTGGCTGGGAACCACATGGAAAACACTTTTCAGAAGCTTCATCCTCAGTTTATCCCAGGGAAAGTCCTGAAAGGTTGACTCGTTGTGCCAGCAGTTGTCCCTTTGAGAGGAAGCTGTGTCCCATTGTGCGTGCCCCTCGGGTGCAGAGGGAGAGAGATCCACACAGCCACAGCCATGACCACACGGGTCTTAATCTCCAGCTTTCAGACACTGATGACAATGAAACCCTAGATGAGTTGCACATAGAAAGCAGTGATGAGAGAAGCCCTTCAGACTTGTCATTGACTGCTGACACCGACAAGTCCATGGAGAACCTGGACATCCTCGTGGGACTTGGAAAACCTCAACTTGGGTCTCCTGATGACGAAGAAACACAAGTGCCCACCAACTTGGAGACTAAGCCAAAGACATTTAGTTTCATTAAGCAGAAAAGGGTTGTGAAAAGGACTTCCTCAGAAGAATGTATTACTGTGATATTTGATGCAGAAAATGGTGAACCCGTTGAATTCAGTTCTCACCAGACTGGAGTTGTTACCGTTACTAGGGATGAAATTTCTATCAACACACCCCCTGCCGGATCCAAGGCAGAACACACTGAACTTTTACCTCAGGGAATTGCTCATTTACAGCCAGGAGCTACTGCAAGAGACTGTTCCTTCTTAAAGAGACCTGATGAGGAAACTGAGAAAAACATTCCAAAAGCTGATGTGGACAGTGTTCCCATGGTGCCCACTGACTCTTTCAGCCCCAGGACTGTCACTAGAAATACCCCACGACAGAAGTTAGCCAAGCCAACACATGGTATGTCATGTCAGAGCAGTTCTAGGTCCTTGGCATCCATGGGTATCTATCAAAAGCAAAATCTGACAAAAATACCTACCAGGGGCAAGTCCTCACCTCAGAAATCAAGAACAATGGAGACCGAAGCCCCTATGCTAGTCTCCTCCTCTGACCCAGTAACTTTGGAAAAATCACCAACCTTCTCTCCAGGGAAACTTTCACGATTCATGAAGACAGAGAGCCCAGGACCCCTCTGTGATATACGGACAGATGCATACTTTCTAAAACACCCCAACAAGCCCCCTCACAGCCCAAAAATGTCCAGCAGAAGGGATTGGGTTCAGTGCTCCAAGAGTCATACCGCAGGGTCACAGTCAAGGCCCCTCATAGAGTCTGGTGACAGTAGCGACCCTCCCACAAGGGATAAACACTGTGGCTCTTGCCTAGAGGTGGGGGTGAGCTCTCCCTCTCCACCGCCCCCTCCAGACAGGTCAGTCTCCCTGCTGCTCAGGCCCAGTCATGACTGTCCTCAATCACCTTCATCAAGCAAGCCTGAAATCAGGGTCCCCAATGACACAACAAGGACAGGGTTCAGCTTTCCATTGCTGAGAGGATCCTCTGCTCCTGTCATTTCTTCTAGTCATGCAATGACAGAAGCACAAGGAAGAAAGCTTCTATAGCCTTCAAACAGCCTGTCTTCACACAGCCTCTGCCATCCTCAGAAACAGTGATTCACAACAGATGCTCTGCTCGTGTTCCCTCCAGCTCCTTTGCCATGATGGCCCCTGGGCCTTCAAAGGTGTCTCCAAAGAGAGGTGTCCCCAAAACCTCTCCTCACCAAGCACTTCAGTCCACACACTCGGACACAGGGTTCCAGAGCCCCAAAACCTGTTCTTCAACTCATGAGCCTCTGGAGATACGGTCTTCTGAAAGTGCATCTCTAGGGAGAAAAGGAGAATTGGATGACAGTGTCCCAACATCTTCTAAGCCGTCCTTCTTGGAAACTAAGGAGACACCATCATCTCAGGTTAATACTCCCTCCTCCTGCTCCTCTTCCTCCTCCTCTAAAAGCCATAGTACCTCACATGGTTGTCAAAACCCTCTTGAGAAAGGACTGAAAACTCGCCTCCCAGTGGGACTCAAAGTTCTCATGAAGTCTCCCCAGTTGCTCAGGAAAAGTTCCACGGTGCCAGGGAAGCAGGAAAAAGATAGTTTAAATGAGGCCTCGAAAAGCTCTGTGGCCACAAGCAAGTCTAAGCTCAAGGACTGTAAGACACCTGTGAACCTAGAGAGCTCAGGAGGTGAGAGAAACACAACCGTGTTGGGTGTCCAGGCATCTGAAGATGCAGAAGAAGGGCTTCCCCTGGAGAGAGCAATGCCCAAGTCATTGGAAAGTAGCATCCCGGGGGCCGATGGGCGAGAGGGAGTGGAAAACAGACCAGTGAAAAGATCCCTCTCCTCTAGCAAACCGCACCTCAAGCCAGCTCTAGGCATGAATGGTGCCAAAGCACGGAGCCAGAGCTTCAGCATGCACTCAGGAGACAAGCCCTCCACGCCGCCCACAGAAGGGCCAGGCAAAATCCGAACTCAGATCATTACCAACACTGCCGAGAGAGGCAATTCTCTCACCCGGCAGAGCGCTTCCACAGAAGGCTCCCCCAGCAAGACCCCTTCTGCTCCCACATCTGAGGGTCTCCCTGCTGCCGGGAGGTCCCCAGGGTATCCCTTCTCCAGGCAGGCCTCCCCGGGGAGCACAAGCGGTTCTAACACCCAGCATGGGAGCCCAAGCAAGTTGCCTTTGAGGATCCCCCCGAGGTCCGAAGGACTCCTCGCCCCACCTGGGGCAGAAGAGCAGCAGGCCTGCATCCAGAGAGAATGTCCCCATGTGGTACCTGAGGAACCAGGCAGTGACCCCTCCAGGTATCCACCCACCCCAACAGACTGTCCTCAAACACTGCAGGCCCCAGGCAGGCTACAGCATCCAAGCAATTTGGAAACAAGCAGGACATCAAAGCTGGAAACTTTTGGAAGGCATCCAGATGACTCCATAACTGAGACTGCTGCTGTGAGCCCAGAAACCCCCCTGTCACCCACTATCGAAGAAAAAGTCATGTTGTGCATTCAGGAAAATGTGGAAAAGGGCCAAGTGCAAACAAAGTCCACCTCTGTGGAAGTGAAACCAAAAGCCGGGCCTTCTTTTGCCAGCTGGTTTGGTTTTCGGAAAAGTAGACTTCCAGCTCTCAGTAGCAGAAAAATAGATGCCTCCAAAACCAAAATGGAAAAGAAAGAGGCAAAAGTCTTGGGGTTTGGAAATAAGCAACTGAAATCAGAGAGAAAAAAAGAGAAAAAGAAGCCTGAACTACAGTTGAAAGTGGAAAATGAGCTTCATAGGAATGCCAAGTCAGCAGACAGTCCAGACAGTGGTTTGCCAAGCAAAAAGAATCTAAAAACATCACAAGACATTTACAACCAAATGAGGTTTGGACCAAGAGCTAGACCCAGCCCTGTTACATGTTCAACAAAAGATAACTTTATGGAGGAACTTTTGAACAGGTAACTCATTGGAACACAGGGTAGCAATGTAGACAGGTCTCCTTGGCTCCCCTTTAAGGAGAGTTCTTAGTTTCCTATATGTTAAATGCCACTTGAGCATGGTTTCCCCATAAGCAGAAGTGCATTTTTTTTTACATTAGCCAGAATTTAAACAATGAAATCAAAGTTAGCAATAAAATGATAATTTAGTCCATGTTACTTTGTTAACCAAACCAATGGTCTTTGAAATTAAAGAACGGTAAGTTTTATCAAGGTTGAAAGAGCTTCAACCTACACTAGGAAGCATGAATGTACCCACATGGCATGAAATGGAAGAAAATTACACGTACGGTTTAAAGCATGCCGATTTCATTGACTATACTGAGCAAACGTATACTTAGAAACTTTCCAGAAATAATTACTTTCTAGCTGATCTTAAACCAGAAATATTTTTAGCAATCACTCTTCAGTGGTTTTTATTTTTCCCCTCCACAAAAGCAGTCATAAAAATAAAAATTAATTCATTATGGTCTCAAATCTAAATTGACATACTGCTGGAATATTTGAAGATTTTATCAAAGCTTGTGAGTAACACTTATCATTTAAAGGTTTAAATACAAAGAGCTACATGGAGGTTACTTTAAGCATTAAAGGACTGGGAAGAGGAGAGGGAGTGAAGACAAGCAATGTAATTGATCAGAGGAATCACTTTCTACCTGCAGAGTTGATAAGAAAGGAGCTTACCAGACAGAAAGTGGATCAAATAATGGTTCCTGCAGGAACATGTTAAAGGGCACTTCCCAGGGCTCCTGTATCATTGGCAGCCCTAGCAGCACCCAAGGAAGCCACAAGAAAAACATCAAAACCAAAGCTGATATGGAAACACCAAGAGACTCCCTGGTAAGTGCTCCACCATCCTGCTTTGAACACTTCACTCTGAGATGCTCTGCCTGGATTCTTTCTGCTCTTTGCTAATACAATATGGGTATGAGATTGCTGGGAAAAAGACAAAATCAAAGACAAAGATTTTTAAATAAGAGAGAAATCTTGGTGACAACTGCCACAAAGAGGTGGCAGCTAGACCTTGAGTGGGGATGGCCCCTTCTGGGAACACTGCTTCTTGCAGCTCTATTTTCAGAATAGTGATATAATTGCAGTGCACTGCAGGTGAATGATGCTAGCAGTGTCATCTTCAAATTATATCTCAGGCTGGAAATTTGTTTTGATGATGATTTCCAATACCAGAAATGAAAAAGGAATGAATGTGATTTTAGATATGAAAGGTGCTTAGCACTTTAAGAGAGCATTGACTATTCTGATGATTTGATTGAAGTGTTGTTTATTTTTTATGCAAGTTGTACATATGAATTCGTTCTACCTAGACAGAAAGTGGTAAGCCTATAAATTATGTTTTGGAATTTGGCTCCGTATCAATTCAGTCTTTCAATTGTTGGATCCAGAAGGGAATAGACTTCCTCTAATAAAATAATAAAAATGCATTTTTATATTTCCGCAAGTCATGATAGTTTCAGATATTTTTGTTTTATAGTTATTTTAAATTATACTTACTCTCTTTACATTCATTAAATGCTCGTATAATTGATTTGATTACTCTCATTGTTCCATTTAATAAGATTTAAAGCACTTAAACCAACAATATTCTCTTTACAGAATTGCCATATCTGTATCTTTGTATACTCTAATAAAGAGGTTATGAAATATAGGCCATGCAGCCATTTTCTAAGAAAAAACTTGAAATCTGAAGAAATTGTGCATTTTTTCTGGGGTGGATGGGGTGGTTCAAGAATGGAAGAGATTCTACAAGTAATCATGGTTAGAATGATTAGTTATTGATATTTAGCATTCCTTAGAGTTTCACAAACATATTTTCATTTGAGACAATGTACCTTTAATGTATTTTACTCAGATATGTCTTGACTCCAAAGAGCTATAAGGTCTGTCTTTCAAAGTCTCTGAAATCATATGCAGACCATGTTCCTTACAGTTTTCTTTTTTCCCACTAGTTTTTGCTCTTGGCTCCTGTGGTATCATTCCTTCTTTGAAAATGTAGATGTCCTCCATGTTATAAAGACCACAATTTATAAGCATATCTAAGGCTGCCCTTGTAGTGTCACTGAAAGGAAAGAGAGAGAAGGAATGTGTGGAAATGTGCAATATGCTGGAAATTCAATCCCGCTGATGGAAAACTTTGATAGCCCTGCAGAGCCCCTTATCAGAGGCACTCCATTTAACTATGCCCCATTTAATATGGTTCTGACAGCTTAGGGTGTATCTTCACCACACAGAAGTACCAAAGAAACAAAAAGACCCTACATTTGGCTTTTACAATTTCATTTTTACTTTCTTATTACTTCCTAATGCTAAAGTAATTCCCCCATGCTTTTCCTTTCTTCTCTGCAGTTTTTCACAGGGTAGTAATAACGATCCTTTGGTCTTTCCAGACTACTGGCAAGAAACACTTATTATTTTCTGTGAAGTACAAAGATTCCCTAACCACCCCAAATATACATAATCAATAGAGATATGCTAATTTTTCTAGTTAGCTGTGAGGGCAAATTAGTCATGCTGAGAAGCTTTTCCATACAGGGGAATACTATTAACCTGGATAGATGACCAGCTAGTCATTTTTTAAAACTGTAAAATGCAGTGCTTTTTGTCTCATCTCTGTAATCATCAGTGTGGATTGGGCTAAAATTACTAATTTCAGCAAGGACATTGCTGTACTCTCCTTTGGGACTAGTACAAGAATAGCAGCAAAAACCCATTTATTACATGTTATCAGCCTATGTAGAAAGAAGATTAGATGCAAAATAAGATGTATTCTGATACCACAGCAACTGATGTGAGTACCCATGAACCTTTTAAGATTCACAGTTTAAGAGAATTCTCCTGTGCTAGGGCTCAAGGTAAATTTGCTCTCTGCTTATTTCACTGATGCAAAGAATTTTTCTCATGGTAGTTATAGTGAACAGAAACAATACCTATATAAAATGCATTAATACCACACTCTTTCCTAAATTAAACCACTATTCCAAAACCTTATGACATAATCTATCACCATTCCTTCTCCTTTATAAAGTAGGATTGTATATTAGTCACAAGAGTCTAAGGCATTTTACTCACTTAAAAAATTAATATTTAATATTTTAATCTAGAGTGATAATAATAGAAAGATTATTTCTGTATACATATAAAACAAATCCCTTTACATAGAAATCCAGTTAATTCACTAGTAACTGCATACCCCTTTAGATACATTCTAAAATATGTATAAACATCCAAATAGTACTTGGCTGAAATAAATCTTTTCTCTTTTCAGAGCTTTCATTAGAGGCTTATGTCCCCATTTCTTCCATCATTTGTAGACCACTTAGCTCTAATTTTTGTGTAATTTAGACTAGGAGCCATGTTACTTTGTACTTAAAATGATTTTATGTTATTTAAATAAAAGAGAGTGGAAAGACATCCTCTAGAAAGTCAGTAAGTAAGTCAAAAAGGCACACTGTACTTGCTACATACTGTGATTCTTCCTTCCTGTGGATGAAGATAGTTTTCTGAAATGAGAAGTCTCAAAGGAAGACAGCTCCAGGATGTCTTATTTAAACCTCTGGACAAAAATAAAAATTGTTAACAAAGTTAATGAGATTATATACCTTTATCATGCACAGGAGAGAAATGACCATTTTAATATGGGTATTTTAATTTAAATTATGGGTGTTCTCTTTAACCAAGTGTCACATTGTCTGAAAAAAATTCACATCTGCTAATAAAAAGCCATCAAATACTATCCCATTAAACTGGGACTCTGGTGATGAAATAGCAGAAAACAGTACAATAATTATACAAATTGTTATCTTCTTATTAAGTTCTGCAAAATGTCATAATTTCAACTTCTTAATTGAAAGATTTTCTTCTAAATGCTATTTTGATGCTAATAAGAAGCATGCATATTTTGCCCTTTTGCAAAGTTTTCTAAATGACTAAACTTTTCCAAAGATTGTACCTTCTAGTTTTCCCTCCCAGGATTCCTCCCTGTCTCTGATAGATTCATCATATCCTTTTCCTTTCAATTGAGCTTTGACATCAAAGATACTGCTTTCTTGAGAAGCCTTCAGTGTTAGGATAATTCAGAGAAAAAAATATGTGCAGAATTCCAAATGAAGTATGCTCAAATATGGGGTTCAATTATGAAATCATCTATGCAGACTGATCAGTGGTGAATTTTTTTCTCCTGTGTCTCTTGCAAGCTCATTTCATCCTGCCCTTCCTAGTGCTAGAAGTTAGTACAGCATGATGGACTCAGTGATATTTTATGGCTGCCTATTACAGGCTGGTGTCTGGAGCTGTGCTTGACTACAACTGCAGAATCCCAAAAGATGGACAAGAGTTAGAAGTGCAGCATTTTAAGACTCCCAAAGTCCTGACAACAAACTTAAACCAAAACCAGCCTTTACTACTTCCTATCAAGTAGGCATCACTGACACTGACTTGTACTCTCTGGCTGTTCTTGGGACAGTAACAACTGAGAAATTCCTCAGTTTCCAACCACCAGTCTTCTGAACCAAATGCTTGCCAAACATCCTGGTGCCATGGCTGCCCTCATTCTTTGTAGTGCTTTACCAGGAGGATGTTGACCCACTTGTGCCTGTCTTTGGCAAATTCTTAATCATGGCCTCAAGAAGTTTCCCACAACCCAGCCAACACGTGATTAGGAATGGAAATTCATTTAAATTTGATCCTATGAGTAATATAATTAGCAAGGGGAAATCTACCAAAATAAATTATGTCCCTCATTTCCATAAGCAAATGGGTTTAAAAAAAAAAGGTATTCACCAGTTTGCATTAAAATCTATTTGCATATACCACTCTTGGGGATATACCCAAAAGACTGTGACACAGGTTACTCCAGAGGCACCTGCACACCCATGTTTATTGCGGCACTATTCACAATAGCCAAGTTATAGAAACAGCCAAGATGCCCCACTACTGACGAATGGATCAAGAAAATGTGATATCTATACACAATGGAATTTTATGCAACCATGAAGAAGAACGAAATGTTATCATTCGCTGGTAAATGGATGGAATTGGAGAACATCATTCTGAGTGAGGTTAGCCTGGCCCAAAAGACCAAAAATCGTATGTTCTCCCTCATATGTGGACATTAGATCAAGGGCAAACACAACAATGGGATTGGACTTTGAGCACATGATAAAAGCGAGAGCACACAAGGGAGGGGTGAGGATAGGTAAGACACCTAAAAAACTAGCTAGCATTTGTTGCCCTTAACGCAGAGAAACTAAAGCAGATACCTTAAAAGCAACTGAGGCCAACAGGAAAAGGGGACCAGGAACTAGAGAAAAGGTGAGATCAAAAAGAATTAACCTGGAAGGTAACACCCACGCACAGGAAATCAATGTGAGTCAATGCCCTGTATAGCTATCCTTATCTCAACCAGCAAAAACCCTTGTTCCTTCCTATTATTGCTTATACTCTCTCTACAACAAAATTAGAAATAAGGGCAAAATAGTTTCTGCTGGGTATCGAGGGGGTTGGGGGGAGAGGTAAGGGGCGGAGCGGGTGGTAAGGGAAGGGGTGGGGGCAGGGGGGAGAAATGACCCAAGCCTTGTATGCACATATGAATAATAAAAGAAAAAAAAAGTTAAAAAAAAAGTCAAAATTTGAAAAAAAAATCTATTTGCGTGCATATTGAGAGCTGAGGAATAAGCCATTTTAGGACACACCTCTATTTCCTCCATTACTGGGCTGGTGCCTCAGTCCCTTCAGATTCACAGTTTCCCCCAATGGGTCATCTGCCCCTCATGGGTCAACCAACCCAAGGGAGCTAAGAGAGTTAGGGACCCTATCCACAAAGCTGGTTCCTTGGATGGGCCCCTAGAAGCCATATTTAGCCTTTGCTCTTAAGCACAGAAAACTCTGGAAAGATTTTGCTAAGGAGTTGGAAGGTAGTACTGCATAGCAGCTTGTTTTCTTTCTTCAGTCTGATTCTTGCACAAAGATGGTAGTGAAGTTTGCAGAAGAGTCAAGGAGCAGTAAGGAAGGAAAGCAGAGGAGCTACACATATGCACACACTCAAGCATTTGCTACCTTAAATAAAGTACTATGGCCTATGAATACTTGGGATATTGCCTCTACAGCTAACTGCCAGACACTACAAAGCTGTAGCAACTCTTGGCAAGGTCTGGAAAGAATTCCTATGACATTATGGGACATTCTGAATAAATGAATTACAGTAATGGATAGGGGACAGGAGAGATCATTCTAAAACTAAAGTCCTGTGTGACTTTGAACAGATTACTAACCCTCTCTGAGCCTCTTTTGCTTTATAAAACCAAAACCTCTTTTCAATTTCTTGGTTCTTTAATTTGGAATTTTACAGACTGAAAAAGATAATTCACCCATATTCCAGCAGTTTAGAAGGCTACCCTTGCAAGTTTAACATGGGTAAATTTAGAGCAACCCAGAAGAAATGCTATTTTACATTAACACATGGGTTGGGAGGGGGAGGAAATATAGAACAGACTGCCATAAGAGTTGGTATGAACTGAAGATGTAGATTTCCTTGGCGTTTCTGTAAATGAGGCAAGAAGACTCCTAATGGATTATTAGTAGAAGTGTGTTTTGGGGTAGCCTTGTCACAAACATATCCCTGAGCTGTGTGACGCTTTTCTCCTCTGCTCTCCACAAACGTACACTGCTAGGAACAGTTAGTCCATGAAGCCTTTTCCTGTCCTCTCTTTCATTCTTCACCTTCCTGAGGAGGTGCAAGCAAACAAGGGAAATGCCCACAAAGCAGACAGCCAAAGGGAAAAGAAAGTGGTAAAGCACAGCCAGAAAATACTGGATCCTTGACAGTCTCCTTGTGAGGGTTGAGGTAGCAGTCACATATTCTCCACGTGTCGTCATCTGGCTATTAGCATTGGTGCAGTAGAGGCATCCATTGCATTCTGCTATTGGAACTGCAGTCATAAAATGTAAATAATTGTTCTCATCCCATTAAGTGTGAAAAATAAGAGGTAAGAAATAGAAAGCTGAATCTGGTTCAAGGTCAGTATGCAACCAAATAACTTTGTACCTTTTGAGTGCAAAATTGTGTTCAACCCCAGCCTCTGAGCAGATCCGCTGACAGCTGCTAGTACATGTGGCTGAGCAGGACCCCATTGCATTGCCAAGTTCACATTACTGTTATTGGCTGGAGTGTTTTTGATAAGAGCTATTTTGGATCACTCCATGAAGGACTTCAGCTATCTTAAAATTGAGGCCAGGTTGACACAAAAATGTCAAATGGAAATTTAGAATAATGAAGTTCCCCTAAATAAACACAAATCTAGAGTCAGGCTTGCTATGTGTGAATCTTAGCTCCACCACTTGGATGGTTCTGTGTCTTTCCTGCTGCTCCGAGGTAGGTCTTCACGTCTATAGTGAGCTGACAGTAGCCCCTGCCACTTAACGTCGCTGTGAGTATGATGAGATCCTAAGTAATAAAGACTTGACACAGATCTTCCCCAGGCAGAGTGTGTAGGTGCTTGCTGTTTTACTGTGGCTGGTATTGTTGAGGTTAATAGATATTGTTAATGTCGATGTCAGCTGTATGGCTGGTGTCAGTACCCCACTACTGGACTAAGAAGCAGAGGTCTTAAATTGTCCTGTGAGCATTACCCCAAACGTAACCCTTTACTAAGGTGTGCCAACTTTAAGGAAACTTCCTGGACCTTAGAATTCTCATCTATAAAATACTGTGACTTCACAACGTTCTCTCTGGAGTTCTATCTGAGGCTACTCAATCCAGTGCCTGGGTGTTCCAGCTGAAATAAAAGGGGAAGCCTTTTCATATGAAAAGTCTAGAAAAATGTCTCACTGCTTTACTTCACTGAGCACTTATCCTAGTCACCTCATTTTATTATGGAAAGAATGAAACAATCATTTTCTTAGAGAGTTAGTCTGTTAGGAAAGGGTCAGGAGATCTAAATATGATTTAAATATGTCTCCCTGGTCTTATTAAAATAAGTTATGATAGAATTCTCTGACTCTGGCAGAATTATTCCTCTGTAGACATTTTTTTTTTCTAACAGCCAAGTGTTACTGATTCAAGTTAAAAACCAAAGCTATTATTGCTAAAATCTTCTGTAGAGTCAGGTACCCTGTAAGGCCTCTCTTTTGAAGCTGGCATTATACTTCTGAAAATATGCTCTCATAATTAAAATTTGTAATAAAGCCAAATGATACAGTGAGGAAAAGTGGAATGAAATACACACATGTTCATGTACCCACACACGTGTATGTGTCAACACTTATACCCCCCATTTATTACAGAAAGTACTTGTAATCTGAGAATTGCCAAAGATCTTTTTAATATCATGAATAAGAACTTCCAGTATTTTCTTATTGCTGCAGATAAAAGAGGCAAATGAACACTTGGAAGAGGATGAAGAAGATACAATTGCAGATTCTGCATTTCAGAGCCACATCACAGGTAAAAATTCATGTTTTAATATATCTCTAACTTTGAGACATTTTATACATGCTACTTTCTTCCAGACATGGTGCATTCCTAGAGACCATGTCTGGTGCGTCCCTCTCTGTCTGAGCCTGGTTACCTTTTGTCTTAGATGTTGGATGCTAACTAACATAAAACGTGGATTAAACAGTACCTATAAAGAAGATGTAGGTATATGCAAAGGATTATAACATAAACCCATGAGAAGACAATATGTGTCAGTATTAAATGAGAGCAGTACTCGGTGTAAACAATTTGTTCTGAGGAGAAAATCAGCTCTGACTGTATCCAGTTTCTATCATTGTTTCAAAAACTAATGTAGATGACTATTGACTAGAAATATGGGATGGTGGCTTTCTTAAAATGAACGTTTTTAACTGAATGTATTTTATATAGAATAAGTGAATATGGCTTGCCAAAATCTTCAACTCATTTTCTTCACCATTTCTGTCTAGAACCCTAAATATAGATAGACCTGTCTCTGAATTAAGTTCAACTTGCCAGCTGTTTCTTAAAATTGTGCATTAATCAGAAGAGATAAGGAAAGGGAAGGAAACCAAAAACTTAATTGTGGTTGATGTGCTCACTGTATAGGAGTAAATATAGTAATCTTAAACTGGCAGAGGCCACTATGGGAAGGGGGCTAGGAGTGATGAAGAAGTCTGGTAGAGATGAACCAATTTGGGTTATAATACACAAGTGCATGGAAACAACACAAGGAATCTCTCTGTATAACTATCTTTGTCTCAAACTAGCAAAATGTCATGTTTTTCTTATTATCTTTTATGTTTTTTCTTCAACAAAATTGGAGAACAAGAAGGCAGAACAGGTTCTGATGGGGGGTGGGGTAGGGGGTGCCCCAAATAATGTATACACATGTAAATGTAAACATGATAAAATAAAATAAATTTGCAAGGAAAGAAAAAAGCCAAATGAACATTTTAAAATTTTCTAAAACATTGTGTGTTAATACCAGGAAAAAAGGAAACTCAAGTTCCCAACATAGTGAGACTTTGCCTACCTGTTTCCAGAAGCCAGGAGGTAACTGGGATGGAGGAGTTACCAATGACTGTGATCCTTGTCAGGAGATTAGACAGGTGATAATTTTAAAAGCCCCAGGTCACCTTGAACGTTGTAAAATTAGTTGTTCTTCAGGCTGTAAAAATAGCTTGACTATGAGCATCTTGATTGTTTAGCATTTACACAAGACACCAAAGGATGAGGGAATTATTGCTCCAAATCCCCAAACCCCATTTGGGTGTAGGAGACAGCACATAATACCATGTTCCAGGATGTGACAGCCTTGCAGATTGCCAAGTTTTGGTATCTTCTGTGTCCACTGCTCCTCCCTTTCTCTGGGGTATCTTTAGCTGCCAACTCCTCTTGGCCCCCCTTGGCTCTGAGTGCTGTATTGGTGCACTTTGTGGCTGATTTTCTAGTGTACCCAGCAGTCTTCTACAAACTATAATTTACAGTTTATCTCAGAGAGTTGTTGTACCCCCACTGCTTAATGAGACTGGCACACCATTATTATTCTTTTCATTTGTAATTGGGAGTACAAAAGTCTTAACAAACAGCTGAATGAGTGCAGTCTGAATAAGATTATTATTCCAAAAAGACATCCTTTATTATAGTTGTCAATGTGAAATGCTTAAATTGGTATCAGTTCTGCGTAGTTAGCTAATATGCAAGTTAAATAATGTTTAACAGCCCTCAAACATGAGACTACGTAAAGCCTTGCTGAGTCGGCATTTTTCCATAATGAGGTATTCTTGGGCTTATAAAAAACATATGAAGTCAGAGGCTGAATTTTTGTTCAAGAGAACTACAGTAACTTAAACATTTTAGTGGATTAGTGGTTCTTTAAATCTGCACTTTTGGATGTGATAGCCCCCTTCCCATAGCCACATGTGGCTATTGCAACTTTTATTAAAATAACATAAAATTAAAAATTCAGGCTCTCAGTCACACTAGCTACAGTTTGAGTGGTCAGTGGACACCTCTTAGGTATATTCCGTACAACAATTTCCTTCATCACTGTTTTCTCAAACAGTGCTGCTTTAGACCACACTGATGGATGGGATTTGGACCATGGGAAAGAAAAAGAATCTGGTCTTAGATCCTTGTAGACTTACCTCTTCACGGCCATAGAAACTATGCAAATACACTGATGTGGCCACAAGTAAGCAGCAACAAACCATTATGTAAGTAATAAAACCAGTTGATCACCTTGTTTAACTAAGAGTGTCAAACAAGAAAAAAGGTGTGTAGCCACTCCACAATATTGTCAACAGCCCTATCTCATTTTATTTCCCTTACTCAACCACAATTACCATGTTGGCTTTTTGTCCTCATGCTTCTTGCCTCTGGTTGCAAACTGGTTCCTGCCTCTCTAGACATTCCATTTTCATTTGAGACAAAAAGTGTAAGGAAGATGAAAAACTTCCCAGAATCCCACCAAAGGCTGCACCTCACATATCATTGATGAGAAATGGATCACACACCCAATACCAGCTGCTAAAGATTCTGGGAAAGCATCTGTTTCATGTATTAGCAGAGAGAAAAGGGTTGAGATTGTCTCAGTCTAACCAATCAATACAATTATCTTTTTTGAAGTTCTTCTACTTTAATATTGAATGAGACTCATTAAAGGGAACTGGTTATCTTTTTTTGGTGGTACCATGTTTGCACTTGCTTGGCAGGTGCTCTACCCTTTAAGCAATGCCCCCAGTCCTTTTTGCTTTATTTTTTGGGTAAGGTCTCATGTTTTTGCCCAGGGCTGGCCTCCTACTTATGCCTCCTGTATACCTAGGATTATAGGCATGAGCCCATGTGCCTGGCCTAGTTATTTGTCTTTAGTCCACAAGAATGTCTGAGAATATGCATCTATCTATCTATCTATCTATATATATACATATATAGATTTATATACTTAATAATTCCAGTATTCATTTTGTGGTGTTTTATAATCATAATATAATTTCAATAATAGCACCTAACAAATCTAAGTATGTTCTTCTTCCAACCAAATATCAATTAATGTCTTTGACAGAGAAGAACAATCAAGAAAGTAGTGAATCTCAATGCATTTCTGTGGTTAAGGATAATCGTGTTGGTTTAATGAAAATGTTTTGAGTTGATTACAAGACAAGATATTGCCAACTAAACCTACTGAATATTTAAATTCAAGATTTATTAATTAAGTAAAATAATGACACTACATTTCTTCTTTAAAATTGTCCTAACAAATATCAGACTTCCATCATAATAAGCATCAAGCACACAACTAGCCAGGCCTAAGAGAACTTTAACACAAAATTCACAACCGCCATATTTCAAATTTTCCTTTTCTGCTATGTAGCTATAATAGATTCACTCTATATATTATACTAATTATCTACTAGGATTAGACAATTACAATGAATTCAAGTACCATTAACTTGTATTAAAAATATCAGCCAAGGAGACAGAGGATTTGGAAATTCTAATAAAGAAGGGAAAATATCTTTTGAGGAATCTGAGAAAGAAGCCAAGCAGAATCCAGTGGTATCCAAAAAACAAGGATGCATGGTAGCCCTTTACGAAATGAAGGATACATAGTATTTCCCCAAATCTAAAAGAGTTGCAAAGAAGTCTGCCCAGTAGTCCAATGAATAAATACCCCAGTGTCCCATACTTAAGTGAGACCTGTTTCCTCTCCCCTATTAGTTGAGTGTACTTTTAGTCTATTCTGCAGGAGCCAGAAGGGTTCTACCACCAGAGCATAGCAAGACAAAGGACATGATCTAGCTCTAGTGACTCTCTGGCTTTCTTGGGTAGGTCTGTTAAGTTACCATGGAACTCTCCTTCCTACCCCAGGTACTGACATTACCTCCAAGGGATCCTTCTAGCCTCATTTGTTGTACTCTTTCCTCCCTTCCACCTCAGCCTACACTCTCCTGACAACAGCTAATGTATTGTGCAGGAGGATGTGTTTGATAAGTACCTTTGAGTACTTTCACACCATAAGCCTGTGCATTTCCATTTTCCCAGGGTGTTTCATTTCCTTATTCCTGCCCTCTCCTAGTCTTTAGCTAACATGGTAAACTAACTCACATCACTATAGTAACGGATTAGACAGGAACCTTTACAAGTCACACATTTGCATTGTATCAAAGATTCAGATAAATTTTTACCTCTAGTTAAGAGTAATCTTTAGGAACTCTAAGTTTCAGGTACTCAGAGTGCTTGTTTGAGCAAATTATGGGGTGAGGAAGAAAGGATAGAACCAAGCCTACCTCAGATAATGAACAGCACAAGAAGCAGTGCCAGGGGAAAAAAGAGTTATTTTTTATAAGCCTAGTTTTGCCTGAAGGCTAGACCTGAGACAAAGCTATGTTGTGCCAAATAAGAGAGATTTAGAACACCATCTTGAACGCATATAGACCTTGTTCTTGTACCTTTCATCATCAATCCACAAAGCATCAAATCTACAGTAGTAAAGTGCCCAGTTTGCAGTTAGGTAGAGGAAGAAGGGATACAAGAGTCATAGATGGGCAGTTGTTATTGTTGAGGAATCTCTACACCACATTCAAATAACGGTCAGCAAATGCAACAGACTTTCACATCAGGCCTGGCCTGATGCCAAAATGTTGATTTCTGTGATTGTTTCTTTGGTTGTAAGAGAAAGGTAAGGTCTCGTAGGCTCTTAAAACAAGTGCTTCACTTACATAGAGAGCAGGAACCAGGAGCATAGCATTTATCTCATCTGAACCCAACAGGGGTAGAGGGGTATAAGGGAGAATGATAGGGGGCATAAATTCAACTATGATAAATTGTAGGAACATTTGTAAATGTCACAATGTACCCCCTGTACAACAATAATTAAAAATAGAGAAAAAAAGAATATGCCCAACAGTAGGTATCCATAGTGCATTCTATCATTTGAATTTTCCAGGCCACATTTGTTTTTAGTTTAAAGACTGGATTTCCCTAAC